GCTCTTAGTTTAGATAGATTGCTCAGGGTATGCAGATCTAGCAGTGAAGAGCCATCAAATCGATATGTCAGCAAGTCCCTTATTTCGACAAATGCATGGAAAATGCGGGTAAGTTTTACAAATAGAAAAGTGCGTTTGAACTCGAAACTGAATCTATCCAGATTTATAGAATGTTAATTTTTTATTTTAATAGTCATAGGATCATAAAATAATAGCACGTTCTAATTTGTGAAAATGAACTCTTTAATTAACAGTGCTCAGAACTGCTCAAAGTTTCAGGACACAGAGCATGATAAGCTGTGAAGAGTTTTTTTAAATATAGCAGATGACTACCACTCTTTGTTGACTTCAGATCATTAAAATCAAGGCATTGACACAATTTGCGCATAGATTCGATGCTAACATGTACTAGAGAACTGTCACAAGACTATTTCCTTTTATGTGTAAAACATTTGTACTTACTTGTGTTCTTGTTATCTTACTTACTATGCACATAAGTGGTTCGAAACGGGTTTAAATAGCAGTTATTATCACTCCTAAATATTAATATGTAATTATTTTTGCATAGGTTTTTCATTTAGCATATCTATATTGGCACTTTTATTTAGTTTTTAGTGAATATTATTGTATCTGTTTTTGTAGTAGTTTATTGATTCTATCGCCACGTACAACAATAATGAGATATTTATTTGTACGTCTTTGTACAAAGACTGCACAGAATAGTTTTCAAGCAACAGAAACCTTTAGGACACCCCTTCCCGCAAGATTATAAACTTAAATCTGTTTGAATTTTGAAATCAGCTTTTTTTTTCCCGCCTTTATAGCAAAGACTCTTGCACCGGTCAGAACATTACTTTATAACTTTTGTGTAATTTAACAGTATGAGACGCTGAATTTTTTTTAGGATTTAGACAAATGATTACCATCTGACTGTAGATTTAAACCTTGGCTGAATTCTGAAGATGGCTCCTGCCGAAACAATATTTAAACACAGTGGGACTGTTCAAGTCCTAGGATAGGTAGTTTTTTTCTGGTAGTATTAGTTTTGGCTAATAGAATTTCAACCAAAATGTGCCTTTTCAAAATTTTTAATTTAAAATTCTATAAGTATAGAATTACCCTTTCTATCGGCGATAGCATATATTAACTCGATTACCGTAAAGAGTACGGTACCAAGATAAAATGATGCACTTTTGCTTTAAAACGTTTTACATGCAGATAATTTTTGACCAGTAGGGTTTAAAGCTTCTATGATGAGAGATTATGATTTACCTAATTTATTCATGGAATCATCATAAATGTTTATGGAAGTTTAAAGCAAAGATCCTGGCACCACTGCTTGTTTTACAAGCCTAATACTGTATATTATTATTCGGATTTTGAAGTTGTTATTCTTAGCAGCTAAGATTATAGAGTTTATAAATATATATATATGTATAACAGATATGTTACTGTGATAGGCTTCAGCTTAAACGTGAAGTTTACATTCGAGGTTAAAATGATGATAAATTCTGATTATAATATCCCATAAGCTATAACAAAGATCATTCGTGTCTCGCGTTAAAATGAGATATGAAAATCTTAGTATGCTAATTCATGAAACTATCCTTATTAAAACCTATAGTTTTAATAAGGTTATATCCTTATTATAACCTTATTAGAACCTCATATATATATCCTTATTAGAACCTATATATGTATATATAGGTTCTAATAAGGCTTACGCAGTAGCTTTATATCTATATATAAGCTACTGCATACATATGTATAGTTCAGAGAACTAAATTAGGTAATATATATATATATGTTGTATAAGCTTAAATTCACTTAGTTCGAAATCGAGTTATTCTATTACTTGCGCAATTGCTGCAAAGTAAGTTAATTAACCGAATGATACTATTAAGCGAAGAGAAAAATACTTTACAAACTATCAAACTATCAATGGACTTTCATATGAATATAATACTAGATCTCTTTTTGTTTAGATGATACACTCATAAAGTGAGTGTAAAGTTAATATGATTTTCTACATACACCCTTATTTCTTCCAATATGACTATAATACGGCAGGATAACCTTCATGATCAAATTATACGATGTGAAGGTTACAGCTGCTATAGAGTTGTCTGAATTTTGCCTTAGGCAAAAAAATACTATTGATACTCTAGCATATTGTTTAATTTAATTATGCACGAAGCAAATTTGAAGATTATTTAAATCTTGTTGTTGTGACTTATCTCACTTGTCTGACTAAATTAGAGCAAGCCCACGAATTTAATGATGGCAGGCGTTACAAGATTGCGCCTGTCGTTGGCAACAGGCTTGTGCACACAACGGGCTTTAAGTGACAGTACAATTTTTCCCAATTTCAAGAGAGAGCACCCGGCGGCTGTCCGAAGATATACCACCCCTCTTCCCCGACCACTAAGTCATACGAGAATCTCGCTATATGCCTTCATGGCGAAAAGACGCTATATATTTACAACATCTATGGCATCTTAGGGATTCGAACCCTGGTCAACGGGCAAGAAATGCTCAACCGACCAAACTAGCCATACCCAACGAACGGGGCTGAAAAGCCCTCCAACGCAACGGTCAACAGAATCATCTCATAGGTACAAAACACAGTAACAAGTCGTACCTACTCATTAGATGCTGGGGGAGGGTGTATGGCGTCCGCGGATCCTCTCAACCCTCGCAAATTTGAAAGATTCGGAATTCTTGAATCTAGTGCACAAGAGTTTTTTTTTTTTTTTTTCCCTAGCGGTAGAAGATCCTACTCCCACGTCACGGCATTAAGACTTACCTACAACATCATTGTGACGTTGAGATCGTCACAGTATGACATGTTTGCATTGTCATAGCGACGTCGCCGTGTTGTTGGTGTAAGCTTGGTGTGAAATTTAGCAGTGAAAACTTTTACACTAATTCGGTAGTTGAAAAACCTGAGTAAATCTGTTCATTCCTTCTAGAGCTTCTTTTATGTAAAGAAGTTCAATTTTATTCGCTCTGGACGGTGTTAAAAATATAACTTAAAACTTATTTTAAAACTACCAAGCAGATTCTACTGCTGTGAATGTAGTAGCATCGCTAATTGGTTCAACTAATTGAATTTCAACTAATTGGTGAATAATTAAAGTTTGTCTATGTTTCCGAGTTTCTTAAATGCAAAAACATGTCTTTAAATTATTTGACGCTAACTGGAAGAGAATATGTCAGCTCGCTGATAAAGATATTTTTTTCTCGGGAAACTACTAACTTAAATGTTATGTGACTTCCTATGTATTTCATTTTTCTCACTTGTTTTGTATAAATAGAGATAATGCTCAAGTGAGAGCATCTTGCAAATGGATGCTTTAACATTATAAATACGTTGTTACGCAGAGCCACTACTTTTCTTCTTCCTCAAATTCCTCAATTCTTCAAAAACTGCTTCTGTAATGGAATCTTGTAAATTGAGGATAAAGTTATTATTGATCTTAAAGCAATTATTAACCTAAAGTTTCTATGATTCCAAGATCAAAACTGGTCATTTTGTTAGAGATAATGCTCAAATAAGAGCATCCTGCAAATACATACTTTCAACTTATTGCCATGCTTTTACTTAAAGCTACTATCCTAATTCTTCCCTCAAAAACTGCTTTTGAAGTGAAATCTTGTAAAATGAAGATTAAATTGTCATTGGTCATAAAGTAGTAATTACAATGATTCCTAAGACCAAAATTAGCCATTTTACTTTAGTGATTGCTTATCGTAAATGTACTCAGTCCTCGACAAAATTTAATGAGTGATATTAAGAAAGATTTAATGAAACAGTTTTTCTCAGAGAAGTTAACTGTCATTAATTACCAATACCATCAATAAATACTACAATAACACAAACTGAATAAAAATATTTTCAAATGAAATAAAGAAAATTAAATAAAACTTTCAGGAAGTATTTACTTAAAAACGCGACTTTATTAATTTAGAGTTACATAAAAGAGCCCTACAAAGAATTTATCCCATAAGAGTCATTAAAGAAAAGTGTAGATAAAATGTACTTATTAATGTGAACAAGACTTTATTAAGGGAGTATTCAATGAAACGAAAGGAATATACATGTACTGTAGTAAACCCTATGGTAAGTCAGTGTTCTGATATAAGTTTACTAATAAATAAAAACTGTATTTTAGACTGTAGGGAAATAAAAACTTGATTTTTCAGTCACTATAATTAATTTACTTAAACTAAAAGTTAATTAAAGTAATTTTTTTCCCAACATAAATTAAACATTTTCTGCCCGAAAAATGTACAAACTTTTAATTAAAAAAATTGTTCTGATGATTTTCAGCCGCAGCTAATTTACTTATCCAAAACAAACTTATCTACATATGCAACTGCTTAAATGTTTGTAATATTCTCTACAAATGTCATCTTTTTTGCTTACAAATGCCTTTGCCTTCCTCTGCTTCGCGAAAATGTTTGCTTCTGTATTTATCATCAAAGGCTTGTTTGTTACCCTGCAATATTTTGATGAATGGTTGTCTCTTAAAAAACTTAGAGAAATCTTAAATTTTAAAACTATTGATAATGAAGTTTTATTAAACTTACATATCTTTCTTTGAATAATGTTCGCATTTCATTCCGCGTTTGACTTAAGGAAATTTTCACATCAACATTTTCAAATTATACACTGTTAAGAGTTCATGTACATTCCAGCGGAATTCATTATCACTTGCATTTTTCTCAGCAGTACTTTCCTATAAAACATTTAGAATTTATTAATTCTCTAAATTAATATATCATTTAATAGTGACTGAATTTTCAAATATAATTACTAAAAATTTAATTATTAAAATAATTAAGGAAGAAATGATAAAAGTTAGTAACACTTCTGATACCTTCAATCGGCATTATTAAAATTTAATTTCAGATTAATAAAAAGATTTTACTCCAGTTCAGTGTTCCATTAAGAAAAGAGAAAAATTAAGCTAAAAATTATTTTATTTCTATTCCAGTTGGAGTGGTCAACGTTCAAAAGATGACGGCAGTCTTGTGAATCCTGTGAATGCAGCTGCTAATCTTATGTCTCGGAGTATGTCCCTTAATAGCCTCAGTGATGACCGTCGAAAACCTGGTGAGTTATAGATCTTTTAATGTAAAATCAGCATGCGTTACTTTTATCTTTTATTTGGATTTCTTTAGTAGATTGTTTAGGGAAAATATAACTAAAAAGTATTACATCGTTAATTTACTACTTAAATCTACTTCTTGAATAAAGAATTATGTTCAGTTATGTATGATATAAATATTACAAGAAAAGCTTCCATGTACACAATGGCATTTAAAATCTTTTTATTATCTAACATAGTGTTCTATCCGAAACAGAAAGTTGTAAATACATATAATGCAGACCCGTTTAGAAACCGTAACTTAAAACGAAAATATATCTTACTTTACATGTAAACAAGGCGGGTGATATCAATAGCAATAATGAAAGAAATAAATATCAAAGGGCTTCATTTAATTAAATGGAAGGCATTGGGAAAGATAATTATGTTCAAATTAAACCCTATTGAGTTCAAGTTAAATAGCATGAAAAGTACTGAGTGACAGAAAGTACAAGGTATCCAAACTCACAGCTCACTGAATATGATAATTGTAGGAATACAAATGTGAGTAACTGAAATAACATAGAAGTGGTATTTTCACCCTGTAGTATGGTTAACTCAATAAACAAATCGCATGTGTTTCTTGTGGGGAGCACTGAAGCGAAAGGGCAGATAATTCGCATTCATTTTCAAGAGCTAGAAGCTGCACTTCACTAACAACATTCAAGAAATTACAATACAAATATCCTGAAGAAAGTCTTTGTCAATATGTAGAAGTGTGTGCAGATCTGCCTTGATGCCGGTGATAGATTTTCTAGAGTAGTGATTCATAGAGAAAGCCTTTAAATGTGTGCGACAGAAGTTTCTAAATTTTCAATGGAAACTACCGGATATGATAAAATATCGAACGCCACGTCGACAGTTGGAATAAAGTTTATAATAAAGTTAGGACACAGAAGAATTCTCCGAGGGTTCCCTGATCGATATTCTAAAGAGTGGGAAGAAGCGTACAAATTTTAAAAAGTATTCACAAAAGGTGAGATACAAAACATGTCATTCTAAATCTAAGTTGTGTTGTTTTACACAATTTAGATTTAGAATGACGGAAAAAGCAAATCACACTTTCTACTTTTTCTGTCCTTCTTAGGATGTTTTTTGGACATTTTGTTTAATCTTATATGGTTCATAAAGATAACTAGAGAAAATTCTAGTTAAGATTTAAAATGAAAAACTTACTGATATATACAATTCTGAAGCATGAAATATCATAGATACTATAAATTGATTGGTAAAATTAAAACAAGTTGGATTAACGAAGAGTGTATTCCAAACTGTTAGCATCTGTTAGGAAGGTTACGAAACTAGAAAAATATTCAATTTGCAGACTATTGGATTCGCAGAAAAAAGGTGGCTTTTCTGTAGTTGATGTATAGTTAATAAGAAATTATTTATCTTCTCATTAAAGCTCTTCACAATTCTGCAAGCAACTGAATATAAGCACATTTGCAAATTTTATTTCTTATTTTCCGGAAAAAGAGGTCATATAGGACAAAATGTATCGTATAAGAATTTCGGTTAATTTAATTTCATATGTATATATAGAAATGTTATGTGTTTCTACTGTTATATGAGAAAGATATATATTCATTAAAGATGGGATTCAGCCAAACTTGCATAACAGTTTCACTTTCATATTAATACACATGTATGTTAACACCCGTTAAAAATTGTTTACTTCAGTGTAAGTTAGTCTTATTCAAGAACTAACATAAACTATCGATAAAATGCACTAAAATAAATAAAAGTGTAAGGGGTGTTTACTAACATCTTTTTATTTATTTTTCGAAATCCATGTGATTTTCGAAGCCGCAAACTGCTATGTTAAATAATAATTTCAACTGCTTAACTAATTTAATTTTATTTCCACAACTCACATATTAACTAATTCAATATGATTTATACATTTGACTTGCATATTGGCCAATTCAATGTTGTTTATACATTTAATCACAGTGAACTAGTTAATTAATTTATCTTTTAATTAACTAGTTCACAGTTTTTGACAAATAAAAATTATGAATAAAGAATAATTTTATAAAACATTACGTTTTACGTGTAAGCAGATGCTCAATCCTCTAAAATAATATTCAATATTCAATAAATATTTAATCGTCTAAATTTTTTAAAAATAAAACTCAAGAAATACTTTCTTTAAATAAATCAAGCTTACGTTAAAGCCTACGTTAAAAACACGATTTCGGCGAAAAAATTCGATTTTTTTTAATTGTCCAATTGGAAAGGTCAGTTTTGTAGGATTCCGAAAATGGTTCATTTTTACGTTTGTGATAATTAGAAGAGAAGATATAGCCAATTAACTGCACTGGAAGTGCAAGCAGAAAGACCGGAAGTGCCATTTAAAAGGCTCAACTTAAAGGTAAACAATGTTGTTATTCGAGGTTTTTTTTTACCTGTTTGTGTGTAAAATTGTGCTAAAACATTCATTTTAATTCTGGGTACTTTTTTTTGTTCTGGCAATAATTATTTGGCTTAATGTTTTCAACTGGGACTGGCAACATTGCGGTTTTTTGAACTGGGTCAGGAAACATGCGTCAGGCAAACATTGCGATTAGGTATAAAGACTATGTTGTTGTGTGCATATATAGCAGTTTTAATTTTTAATTCAGGGTATCTTGGATTACTTCCTGTGTTTGAACATTTAGGCATATGAATTGAACAAGAAATGATTAAAAATTACTTTGGAATTGATAACGAAAGAATAAAGAACTCGAAACGTCATTCGTCGCTCATTTCGAAAATAGCCAGGAAAAAAATTAAAATCAAATAGGAAATCAAAATTATTTAAGTATAAAGATATGGAGGGTGTGATGTGCAAATGTGGAGAATTTTAAATGTGTAAATACAACAGAATAGTTTTTCTGTTAATGTGAAATCTTTAAATGCGTTTTCTGGAAAACTAATTTTTCTAGTGTTTTTACATACAAGATATGTAATTACTCAAAATGTTCTAAAGGTATCTCTATTAAATTTCACTATGGTGTTTTCTATATTATTTACTAGGTTTAAGCTACAACCTAAGTTATATTTATTAATTTGATTGTTTATAAGTATTTCTAGATAAAACGATAAGAAATATTTTACAAAAAAACTGTGTTTTTTTCATGTAATTACACATATTTACTAAAATTAGAAATATCATAAAATTTTAGTTCATAACACAGATGAGTATTGTAGTAGTATACAGTATAAATAAAATTGAAATATATTGATATGGAAAAAAAAATATACGACATTAACGTAAGTGTTAAATTCTCCTAAAAATGTGCATAAAATTGCATATATTTCGAAAATTTATGAAAATATTCCTAAAAAGTTACCTATTTTCATGATTTGATATCTTATTTTGATTAAATAAATATATATTTCATCAGAATTCTATGTTTTTAAAAAAACGTGCTCCGAACGTAGGCAGATACCTTAAAATGAGTATCAACATAGCGTTTTCTTAAACTGTCAGATTAAAAAAAAAAACTCTCACTATGATATGAAATTGTGGCCCATTTAAAAAAAGTTGTGGTAAAGCTCGTAAAATGAACAACATCCCAAAACCGTTGTGAGCAAATTGACGTAATGTCTCCGATTTCTGCGTCTAAATTTCTGTTAACTTAATGAATTATTTAGAAACTGAGTGTAGTTCAAAGAACATGTTTATGCAATGAGTATCAAAAAAGATTGCACAATTAAATACCTTTTAAACACTTACTCTTAGTCGGATGGTTGTAGAGCCATGGCTTCCATTTAAAAAATTTATCAAATGAGGTAAACAGATTGCAACAGTTTTGGCCATGTGAACATATCAAAGTGAACATATGGAAGAAAAGTGTATATAAAATTTAAATTTTACAAGTACGCATCTCAAAAAAAAAATCCAGTTAGAAGTTGGTCATTTCTTATTCTACGAAAAGTTCTTTAAAAATGCTTCTCTAACACAGAGCCAAAATAATGGTGAGACTCCTTTCTCAGGTGAACAACTAGAAGGGGCGCCAAATTAGGTCTTAAAATTTAGAAATTTATTTGAAATAACGTTTGTTAAAATTTTGAATTTAAAACATTCAATGAAGTACTGTTTTAAAACAACATACTTAAAGTAACAAAATTTAATTAATATTACTTATCATAATTTAAAACCATTAGATTCTTCATTTTCAGTGGTTATATAGCCAGTTATTTGATTTCCATTAACCAGCTTTCGTAATTTTCTTCTTGGATAAGATGGTGCCTCTCAGTTTACATTTCACAGTGCATAATGTCAATATCATAAACAGCAAAATTATTTAAATATGAATTAAGTGATTTAATCTGTCACCTTAAATCCATCACGTTTCATTAAATATATACTTTTTATTGCATGCTTTTCATTAATTCCTTCAAAGGGGCTAAGGTGAATTTTGTATTACAAACAATACAGTTTAATTAAGAGATGAATTAAAAACAATATGTTTTCCTCAAAAGAGTTGTGACTTCATTCTTTTCTAATATTAAAATTCATTTTTGAAACTAATGTATTGAAATTGATTTTTATTTAATAAGCATCATATATTTACTAGGAAATAGCATGCAACCGATATCAATAGTTCTCTGTTTCTTTTTAATTTGAGCCGTACTCTTAACGCTTACTTCGCCGCAACAAGCTTTCCAAAGTCTATTAAATGAACGAGGATGATGAGAAAGCTGATTTGCTTTAGCAGTTTTAACATGCAGAAGTCGATTGGAATGGTGTCTGGAGGAATAAGGATAAGGATTTTTTGAAATAAGGATTTTTTGAAATAAGGATTTTTTGGAATAAGGATTTTTTGAAAGTAAATTCATGTTATCACATACTTTTAAACAAAGGATGTTTAAAAGTAAACTTGCTTTCAGGTGCTTTCTCCATTTTTAGGAGACAGTTTTGACTTATTCCATTTTTCATTATGCACGTATGTCCACAGCTAAATAAATGTATAGTTGT